AATTACCTTCTGTATTCTAAAGTTCTATAGTTCGAACTTTTGTTTCTATACTCATCATTTCAAATTTTCAATGTTTGCAAGATCTGCACGCTTTCATAGTGCTATGCCTCTAGTTATCAGACATACCAGTGCAAACAAATAGGGAAAAAACATAGAACTCAGCGAGCTTGATTTATTAGACTGGCCGACCAGTCCTAGATTTATCAACCTGGTCTGGACAAAATGTCAGCATTGTTCAACATTGTGCATTCCAGTAATTGCGAGATTCCAGTAATTGCGAGAACAATAACGAACACGGAAGAGAGAGCAAGGTGAACATCTGTTCGAACGAATTGTTGGATTAGACGAATGGAACGTAGTGATCCTTAATCTACTGTCAGTGAGTAAGGATGTCGCATACTGAGTTCAGGATGATCAGCAGTGTCCAAAAAGACAAAGCAAAAATGCGCTAGCACAATACCAGGGCTATGAGTCTGATTCCCAGCAAAAGGTGCTCAATTCATTCTCAGCCATCGCATTCACAGGCTATCATTATGTATATATCCAGGTTGTAATTGCAGCTAGAATGTATGATCATCTTTCTCAGGGAAGTATTTCGCTGCTGCCTCGAACGCAGTGGTGATTGGAAGCTGGTTATCGACACGTAGCCAGTGCTTTAACATACCTTCAGGACAGAAATTCACGAGGTTCGGCTCCTGGAATAAAGGTGTGTTGGAGCGCAATGATAGACGGACTCTTCTAATTTTTCTTCTTGGTATATTTCGTCCACCACAAGTCTTGACCTCGGCTCTTAGCGAGGGGGGCGATCAGCATGTATAATAGTTAGTGACGCTGACTGCGTCACCGATCGGCTTCGTTTCGAATCCCTAAGAAGGCATGGATGTTTGTAATCGTATAGTGTCTATGTGGCAGAGGGCACTCAAAATTATCAGTTAACTTAAAATCCTCTGTAAAGGTTGGTAGTACGCAAAGGGAGGAGACCATCGAACACCCTCTCGCGGAAGTTTATCAGTTATCAAGGCTCGCCTGTACCTAATATACGAGGTATGACAGAAAAAAACGAGATAAAGTGTATAGCTTGAAAACAGAGTGCAGTATAGCAACAACTATTTTGGTGACGTCTTGCCACACACCTCCTCTATCGATGCGGCGAGTTTCGACTTAACCTACCACGCCAGTGGGGAGTACTGCGTCATTGTGTGAACACGTGCAACTGCATTCTGCCGGGAAAATGTCTAATGTAAAAATCATACAGAGAATCAACATCAAATTTCTTGTGAAACTTAAGAAATCAGCCTCGGAGGAAACATTTCAAATATTAAGCGAGGCTTATGGAGATGACACTTTGTCTCATGTACATGTGTTTGAATGGCATAAGCAGTTTTTGAGGGAGAAGGGACGGTGAAGATGATGAACGTGCTGGGCCGCCCCCTTGAGCGCCCAGCACGTTCATCATGATTGAATGGGTTCCCAGCGGTCAGAGTGTTAATCAACACTACTACATTGAAGCACTAAAAGGTCTTCGTGAAAAAAATTAGGAAAAAAAAGGGCCACAGTTGTGGAGTAATAGATGGCTGTTGCACCAGGACAATGCCACCGCTCACATGACCCTACCTGTCAAACACTAACCAGCAAAAACATTAGTGTGATGGGGCATCCTCCTTATTTACCTCACTTGGCTCTATGCAACTTTTTATTTCCTAAAGTTAAATCTTACTTAAATGAAAACCATTTTACCTCAGCTGCAGAGGTTCGTGCAAAAACGAAAATCTACTGCGTAGCCTTCCAAAATCCTCGTTCCAGAACTGTTACCAGCAATGACAGTACCGAATACCGAAGTGCGTGGAATGCTGAAGGGAAGTACTTTGAAGTTGCTAATATCACGGAGAACTGATTCTGTAAGTACAATGATTTTTTTTAACCAGTTTCGGTTTTCTTGTGTCATATATTGTATACCTACGAGAATGCACAAACGCCGAAATTTCCACAACCTAGAAAAAGTTAAAGGCAGCGCAAACAAAATCTACCTAGATCAAACCTCAGCAACAGAGTTCCACCTAGATCAATAAAATAATGTATCCCAAGCGGAATAATCAGCGCTCCTTCTAGCAATAAAATACAGCATCACAAACTCCCTAAAAACAGCATATGTATTTACAGACAGTCTTTCAGCAATGCATGCCATTGCAAACCTGCACCACCGATCAAAATTAATCCAAGAGATTATAGAAAGAACTTCAACATCACATTGCAGGGACAAAAGTCTAGGGCTAGGCTGACATCCTATCCAAAGAAGCAGCTAGGGGGCAAAACGCGCAAACCTCATCAGTACCATGGCCTGACTCGCACCTCAAAAATCGTAAGTAACAAATCGAAAGCTGAATGGCAGAACTGGTGGGACAACGCCGAACAAGAAAGAAGGACTTATCAAGTGTTCCCATAAAGTAGGCACAACCAGTTTAATAACAAGAGGAATAACGTGGTTCATCTTTTCAGGGCATGGATCTTTTTCCACGCACTTTTTTTCAAGGAACGTAACTACGTCAAACCAGTGTGTGTGTGTGGAGAAAGAGGGCAGTCCCAAACATTATTTGTTTAAATGCTCCCTGATAGCTGAACATCATTTAAAATTCCCAAATTCAGAAAGTGAAATGACTCCTTTTATAAGATATGCTACCAAGAATAACCATCTCAGAAAAAAAATCATAAATATAATGAGCTTCTTGTCCACAAGAGGCACTGAAATATGCAACACAGCATAAATAGCATAACAAAGATATTACTTAAAACGTATGTAAGCAGACCTGGAGCTGTCCTCCATAGGATGCAAGTGCAAAAGGCACCAACTGTGAAAACATCAATGTAAATTTAATGGAAAAAAGGCACTATCTGCGGTTTGTACCAATGCAAAGCATTGCAAGTAATGCCTGGCAAGGTCTCCTGTGATCCCTGTGGGGTGCAATTATCTGGATAACTAGTGTGCCTGGACAACACTCACATTGCCAATGGTTAAACAATGGGTGTCGTAATCTCAAAGAAAACAAGTGCGTCTTATACGCCGGCAAATACGGTATTTCTTCGTAGACAGTTAATCAAGTCCGTCGACAAACTTTTTTTGCTGTTTTGTTCTTGTTGAAATAAGATGTGAAGAATTTTAGATGGCAGACATTCAGAAATTAGTGGATGAAGCTAATAGAATTTCAAATCTGGAGTGAGCGAAACAAAAGTGTTATTATGACAAGGAAAAGAAAGAAATTCATTTTAAGGTGGAAGGTAAGGTCTTGGAAATTAAACATTCTATTTCGTGTGCACTAGAAAGAATAGGAAGACCCCTGCTTAATTAAGAGAATTAGGCAAGCAGTAATATTTTTAAAAGATTAAAAGGTTCAATGGGTAAACGCGAATGTAGAACAGATAAATCACTATTAAGAGCTTGCTAGTATGCCACTGTTACGGTAGCTGGTATGCCACTATTTTCGGGAAGCACCTTGTTTGAATAATGAAAGGGCATTTGAGAATACGCTGGATTTAACGTCGATATCCAGAAGAGAGTTCCTCACAGAAAAAAGAAGGATGCCGGAAATAGTGGAAAAGAAAAGAAGAAATCGGGTTTCAATGCGAGTCTGTTAAGCAAAGCTACAGAAAACCTGGGGCCATGAAGAAAGAAAATAACAGGAAATTTATTCAAAAGTAAAAGCAAAGTTCAAAGATCTGTCACTTGCAGTGTCCAACAGAGTGCTAACCAACGACTGTTGGAAGATATACGAACGCAAAGGAGCGGGACGGAAGGCCAGCAATGAATGAGGCTTACAATAGTGGGAAAGCGATAGATGAGTCAAGCCAGAATTTATGCTGCAAGCGTCTTCCAGAAAAGGAGCCATTTCAGCAGTCTTGCAGATATGTTATCGGCAAAGCCTTCTGCTCTGCTGGAATTTCCGTAGCCTAAGCGAAAATCTGTAGGGATAATCACGAATAACAAGCAACCACCGAAAGCCAAGGAAATCATCAAAGGTATAGAAAAATCCGAATTCGTCACACCAGTGCTTTGACAGAAGATTTCCAAAAAAGCAAGAGGACAATACCTGTACAAAAAGTGAAAAATTACTTAAACTACGTAAAGCAAACGTAACGAAGATACGTAAAGCAGATACGTAAAGCAAACGTAACGAAGATACGTTACGAAGATACATAAAGCAAACGTAACGAACGTAACGTAACGAAGATACCTTACCTTTTTACTACTACTTACTTCCTTACATTTGCTTTACGTCTTAATGCAAAAGTTGTTACATTATGTTGAGTTTTGCCTCAAGCAAGGCCATTTCAGTTTTATTCAGCAAAGAAGATTTTGAGTTTAACTGTGCATTTATCTTCAAGGATTCTTATTTTGTGTATAGAAATATGATTCTGTGAATTTTGTGCATGAGATTGCATTGAGTAACATTTTGATACGATTTCAAAATAAATATTAGCAACTTCTGTTCAGATGAAATAAAGTTCAAACTGAGAAAGCTTTATAATTATAGCATACGAATGATATTTGAAATTATAAGGTATTTCTCCCGCCTTCTTAGCGTGCTTTCGCAGTGTGCTGGTCAGCATACTCGGCGCGTATTCGAAAGGTCGGTGGTTCGAGTTCCGGCGAGGACATTGTAGATTTATCATATCTCCTGCTTCAAAAGGACCTAATGTCTCTACAAAGTTATTTTTTCCATGAAGTGTGTTATGTTAACAGTTTTGTAAAAGTTGTTGTGCTGTGCTGTTTTACATTGTAAATTTAATAGTAGCAAATGATAATGATTTGAATGAAAGTAAAAAGTAGCATAGTGTAATTGAGGCTAAAAAAAAATAAGCTCTTTAGCCAAAGCTTAAAAAATTAATGAAAATTAATGACTTTCAAAGATTTAAACTTAATCAAGGCAAAGCAACAAGTCATACTTCGCAAACTATCACTGCATTCTCTGAAAAAATTAAGACTGATACATGTAATATATACATACCTTTTTCAATATATTTCTGCAAAGTTCCTGATGTTTCACCTGTGCACTACTGAGGTTATGGTATCTTGAAAAGAGCTCTTTCTAAGCGCAAACCTACCCCTATTAATGGACTCTGGAAAGTAATGAAAACAGATTGGAAATCAATACCCCTGTAAATTTGACGTAAAGATCTCCTGACATGGAAATCATGGTGCAGATTGACAATCCAGAAAAAAGGCTTTAAAACATTAAATAAACGTTCTAAAAATGGTTCAAAATTGTTCTAAAAATGTGTAAATACCCTCTAATCTCATCTCTCACATGCTTGTAGGTTGTCGACTATACCATTAAAATATCCATCTGTTTTAGATATGCGCTTTGAATATGTTGTGCACTTCTAGAAAAAGGTACAAGTAATCAATTTGGCTCTATTGAGTGAGAAAAGTTGGGCCTTTTTCTGCGATACTAGTACGTGTGTATATTTAAGTGACGTAATTGAACAAAAGATGTCGTAAAATGATGCAGCTTTATCTATGATGCAGTTTGCTCGATTAATGGTATTCTGTTAATCTCAGATTAGTTATATATACCTGAAATAATCTCCTAGTTAGAACTGTATTATATTCGTAACTGCGTATGAAGATTATTCATCATTGACACGAAGTTCTATTATACAGTTTGCTTATCGCTAGCTTATATTTACACTGAAATACCCATAGTTTCATTCATATTTCAGAGTTGTCTGAAACCAATAGCCCCATCTCATACTTTAGAGCTCTTTTTTACCGTTTGTTCCTTGTTTTAAATACAGGAATTTATGCCCAATCAAAATGTATAAATGATTTAATCCGTTAAATAAAAACTTGTATTTCCAAACCGGAAGATTTTTTTATAATAGCAATTTTGATATGTATAGTTATACTATCGAGTTGCTGCCGTATTGTATAATTAAAGTATCGAGTTGATATCGTATAGTATAGTTAAACAATTGAGTTGCTGTCCTTAATCCACTCAAAACGTAGTGGTTTTAATTCAAAGATTTAATCAAACTTTAAATTGGACCTTAATATTTATCATATGTTTTTTCTTCGTTCATAATAATATAAGAAGAAAGACTATATTCACTTTTTATGTAGATATACACTATATAAAAAGACATAAATTATGTAACTTTTTATATAAATATGCAGCTTTGGTTTTACAGTTTTTGTTAAAAACTTTGAAAACAATAGGTTCTCACAAAATTTAAAAGTTTTAAGGGTTAAAGTTAAACTAAGTTACATTAAGAAAAGTAATTTCCATAATACAGCAACATAAACAGGCACTACAGGTTTCAAGAAGTTAAAGAGATAAAATGTTTCGGAAACAGTGGAACAAGGCTTCAAAAACCCCTTTGATTTGAATGTTTTTTAGGCTTTGAATTAAATAAAGGGCAAAAGTATATATTTCAAATTGAAATCACTAGAAATATTCATTGTAAAAGAGTAAGGAGTATTTGCACATTACTAATAGAAAGAGAAGGTATGATATATGCATTAGTAATATAAATCGTTGATAATGATTTTTCAGAGATCGTTTTTCTGCCCGTTATTTTAAGTTTAACTGATGGTGCACCAAGTTTCTCATTTGTTTTCTGGGCGATTACTGCAAAGCTGTGGCTTAATGTATAGAAACGATTACATAAATTTCTGCTTATTATTTTTCTTGCTTATTAGTTATTTGAAATTTGATTTACTTTATCTATAAAACTTAAATTCTTGTATGTTCTGAAATACTAAATTTGAGTCTATAGTTTGCATAGAGTTATAAAAAATAATCCAAGTATTAACTCCATTTAATTGTATAACTTAGTGTTCACGATTATAATTATAATTATTATTGATACATAAACATGGCAACTATTACATAATTTTTAGATTTTACTTCAGCGACAGATTAAAAAAGCAATAGTTTATTTTCATTTGATTTCATTGTGTTTGATATTGGGAAAATCAACAGAAACAAATTACAGAAATGTGTATCAGTTTTCATTTAATGATTATTTACCAAAATCAGCTTAGCATTATTTTGAAGATTATTTCAAATTATTTTTTTCTTAAAATTAGTTCTTACTAAAATTTTAGAATAGTCTCTATTTTTCTAACTTTCTTTTCAATTGCCGTAGAAATTTAATTGCGTAATTCGAATAAAAATATATTATACACTTATCTATCATTTAGAAAATATCATTCTATCTAATATATCTCTGTAATCTAGAATTGTTGTGTGGAACTATATATTCATGATGCGTTTAAAACTTCAAAACAAATTGCTTATAAATTACAATCAAATTCGAGTATTATAGTGAAATTATATGATTGTAATAGCAGTATTTAAACGTTCCTTTTCATATATGTTATACGAGCTAATCACAAACTCAGTTAACAGACCATTAAATCCATTCAAAACCTTTTAACGAAACATTTTCAAGACAAAACCCGAAGAGAAACAAAGTATGTTTTATCAAATGTACGTGCTATTTTATTAAACCTATCCAATATTAAAAACACAATTATACTACTGTACTCTCAAAAACTTATGTTTCCTTTTCTCCGCCTCTCGTTGGGAAGCAAAGCCACATTAAGAAAGCTTAATGCACTTTCAATATAAAAAATACAGAGAAGGCTATATCCAAAAGATTATTTTAAAAAGTTTTTGTTTCTTGATTTAAATAAAATATGCAATTCATGAATAAGTTAAATATTTAAGTTACTTTAATAATTTTCAAGTACCTTTAATATTTTATAATGATGAAAGTGAGATGCCAAGAAGACAGCTAAAGAGGTGAACTAAAATTTGAACTTAAATCATGAAAATAATTGTTTCCAAAATTAATGAGAAAAAGTTTTGTAATTATCTAAGAGACAAATGCTGACTATATGCGTAAATGCATTCGTAGTTAAGTTAAGTATGTTAATTTTCTATGATATGTGAACTTATTGGGGAAGGCGAAATTTTCGATAATTGAATACACAAAGGAAAGCTCTATGTAACGAAAGGATTCTTTCGTAAGGAAAACAGTACGGTAATGGACATAATATAAAATTGTTTGATAGAAACATAACTTCCAAGTCTTTTAATTTGAATAAAAGATTCTATCCGTTAAATATATCTGTTTCGGTATGAGGATACTAACATTATTTATTTGTAATGAATATTTTCTCATTTTGTATTTCGTAAAAGTTGTTTCTTTTACGCTGTGTGCTCGAGGTGTAATGAAAAGAAGGAGCATCTTACATCCAATATAAAACTAAAATAGATATAATTTTATACTTCGGAGAGACTCTTTCAGCAAAAACATTGCTGAAACATTCCGCTTATTGTTTATTATGCGGGCTTCTTCATACGATGTGATGCATTTTAAATAATTGAAATGCAACAGAAAATTGCTGTTTACATTTCAATGTAATGTTTTTCCCTCAGAATATTTTTCTTTATTTATTAATTATAAAGCAAATACACTATTTTTCCTTTCTTTTGTTCTATTCTTAGGTTTTCAATTCCATTTTTGGTGCTATTCATTATTTATGATGTTTACAGGAAGTCTTTCTCTTTTCCTTTATTACTTCTTGAGATTTTGATCGCTCTTGTATAACTATTGTTATCAACGTGTTGCTTAATTTGCATGCATATGTTTGCACGCTTCCTTACATAGTTGTTCGTAATTTATTATGTAAGGATGCATCTTTTTTTATTTATCTTACATTATTGTGCATTTTATAAATTTTTATTAGCTTCTCCTTCCTTTTTTGATTTTGTTGCTATTTATCAGATTTTTTTTTTAACTTTTCTTTATTTTGCTTCAGTACTTTAGCTTAGATTTAATTTATGCATTGCCTATGTCGGTATATGAACAATTAGCTTATACTGTTTTAATGCATTTACAAAAATTATTAGGATTTATGGAAGCATGAAACATGAAGCTGATAATGATCCTTTTAGACACTATTCACGAAAATTCCAGCTTCTAAATGCCATGTACACCACTAGACCACAGCAAGAAAGTACGAAACTTTCTTAGACTAGAAAAGTAAATTTTGAAACTTTCTAAACAACTGAAGTGGAACTCGCTGTATCACTCGTTAAGATCTACCAAATCTTAACGGTTTTTCGTATTTTCATGAAACAATGTTTCATTAATACATTAGCGTTCTGAAGAATTTCGCCACAAGATTCTTTACCCATTCTTCTCCACTCTTTGCCCTCTACTTTGCTTTTCGAATGCTTAGAAAATATTGGAACAGTCACAGCTACAGCATTGGTTCATATAAGAAATACATCATTAGGTTTAAATATCTAGTGTTTTAAGCATGAACGAGTCTTCATATCTGTTGCTTCTTTTAGATGTCGTTTCTGGGAATTGCCAGGTAATCTTGTATTTTTGGTATCTAATCCGCAATGCAAAGAAATGATTAGCACCACATCTGTCTACGATCTTTTTGGAGCTATACATCCCTTATTTCTTCTACTCTTTTAAGTGCTACTGCTTGGAATTCAAATGAAGTATCAAGTGTTTTTCCCGAAACTGCCCTCTTCTACATGAGTATTCAGATTTACTATCCCCTAAATCGATTAATATACAATACTGTACAGGATGCCCTATAAAGTTTTCGTTTTCCAAAACCTCAGAAAGCAAATTGGGTATTAAGAATTATTTTGAGTCTTATCAAAAAGAATGTTTTTTTTTTTTTTTTTTTTTTTTTTTTTGAAACGGACATAAGAATATTATTGAGATATATTTCTCTCAATATCGCACCCTAAAACTAGAATGAAAAATTTCGAAATTATCATTTGAGAGTATATTACAATACTACTAGCAATGTAGCATTTCATAAAGCGTTTCTGACTATGGGTGTTATTTCAAAAGATTTAAACATACATAATTTTACGATGTTAAAGTTAGAACGTTACATATCGGAGAAATTTTTAAATAAAATGTGTTATTTAAAAATTTTCATTTCTGTGATAAGTTTCTGCTCAAATAGCACTCATGAGACAGCCTTTTGATTTTATAGAATTTTCTAAAAAGAAGTTTCTTAGGCCTGTATATCAACTGCTGTTTTATTTTGACTGGTAAAGAGCCACCTAGGATCC